GAAAAAATACTGGTATCTTCATTTTATATTTATTAAATGTTAACTAAAGGTTCTTGACGCCCCCTAGTGGTAGCTCGTGAGAACTCGAATTGGGGTCTTTTAAGGGGAACTATTTTTATTAGCTGGTAAAACTGGAGACAAATCAAACAAAAATACTGCAGCATTGTTGATGGTTATGGAAACAAAACACAGACCGAAGATGAGAGAAGAATGTTCACATGGACTCCAAGTCCTGGCTGTACAGCTGCACACTTTTGATGTCAGTTTTGTAAATGAATCCGATTAAGTGGAAATCAAATTAATTTAATAGCCAGTGATAAATGTCTGGTGCAATACAGAATATTTCCCCCCATTCCTTAACATTTCATGTGATAATTAAAAGATGCATAAAACTCATCATTAAGTAAAAATATAATAGTTTTTGTTACGTCTATCTATCTACTGTAACATATCTACTGAAACTGGTAACATTAATTTATTTCAAATTAATGTTACAGTTAAACAAACCTCCTGACTTTCTCCACATCCTAATGATACAGTCTAATTACAAATCAAGTGTTAAAAATCTAATCAATGAGTTTAAAATTGGGGGGAAAATGTAATTCTGGCCAACTTGGCACACTAAAGGTATTGACATTATAAATAGCTTTTTCCAAGGTAAAAATCTACTGATGTTTCAAGATAAGTAGAAAACATACGACCTTGATAATAAAGATTTTTGGACATTCCTACAAATAAGAGATTGCTTCTTAAAATGAAATAGAACTGAATCAAATCCACCCCTTGAATCACCAGTATAATCTGTATTAATTTAATTAAGGGAGCTAAGACACAATTATAATCGTTAAGGGCATCAGTGATGTTAACTCAGGACTCCAAAAGGTGTGGGACGAGGGAATGGCAATTGTTAATAAAATGTTAAAAGATAAGTAGCACCTTGAATGTGAATTTGAAACCTTCATTTTGTCATCTAAATAGTTTGGAAAACAATGTCAGAATAGAAGAGAAAAGAGCACATTGGCTGAAAAATCGCACTTATTACTGCCAATATACAGCCAACATACTAAGGCACTGGAAGGGTCATAACAACCTCACTTATACTGAATGGTCCACACCTTTATGTGAGACTGCCTCTTATGGATATCTAATACATAAGATAAATGGACAGTTTGATGTTAACGAAAGTGTGTGGAAGCCTTTTTTTTTTAAATCTCAGATTGAAAGTGCCTGATTTTATCTTGGACTTCTCATAAAGGAATATACAGTATCCCTCATCCCAATCTTTATTTTTTCATATATAATTTTATCTGTATTTTTTTTTCTTATCATTAATTATTTATGTTTGTATGTTTTTGGCCATAGGTGGATGCTAGGAGAAGACTGGATTTTAAAATCCTTCATCAGTGGGACAGATACTCATACACTTAATTCCAATAAAAATGCTCTCCATATCAAACTATATGTTTTATTCTGTGTAAAACTTTGATGTTACATCTATTCTCTTTGTCACTTTACATTACCTATGTACTTCTTCAAGAATTTAGTAAACATATAATTTAAAAAGAATGGCACATGGGGTATTTTTTACATTCCTCAAATATTGCAAAAAACCGAACAAAAGAAGAATGCTTCACACTTTTGATGTGCAAAAAAGATTATTCTTACATCTGCTATGGTACAGAGTCATAAAAAAACGAGTCCATAGCCCGAACTTTTTCACTTTTAATCAGGTAAAAATGTTTTGCAAATTAACATTTGAAAAGTGTGACTTGTGTTTGCATTCAGCACATCATATTAGATACTTTGAAGAACCGCCTTTTTGCCAGAATCACACGTTTAACCATTTTGGAGTTTATTTTGCACTGTTCTACATATGCAGCCTGACGGTTTGGCCTATTTATCTTTGGGAAATTGCTAAGATTAAGTCAGATTGGATGGATTTAACACTAACCCATGAATAGGATCTAAAATCATTCGATCATGGCCTTGCCTAGTTAAGTGTTCAGAATCATTGGCTGGGAAGTGAACCTGCAAGTTTTTTTAAGTCACAAATCATCTTTCTTCTATTAACGTCATATATTCTTTCCTAATTTTTCTGTGGTATTATGTCAAACAAAAATGGAAATGAAAAAGTTATGTTAAATACAGTATTTTTCCAACCTCCCAAAAGAGGGCAGAGAACTATAGTCCAACAGAAAAAGACACAAAAACAGAGCAAGAACGTATTGTTAAAGTATTGAAAGAGTATTTTATGATCTTCTACAAATAAGTTTCATGAATTTAAAAGCAAATTATCAACAGCAAACAAAAGAAGAGGGAGAGGGGGTTATATTTGAGTTCCAAAGAAAGTTTCATAAAGGGTCTCTGTAATTTATCCAAGTTACATTCTGTTCCCTAAACAGTGAAATTGATATTCTACAGATAAAGAAATAATATCACTGATCCAGGACAGAAAACACTGAGTGATTTCATTCACTCAATGGATCAGAAGTGTGTGATATTCAGAGTCCGACTTTAAACACATTTTATTCTCATATATCTTTTTTTTTTAAGTCACCCAAATTGATGGGAATTAAGGCGGACAGAGGGCGTTCTTCTGTTTCTCACATACAGGGTTTTGTTAGGATTAACCCAGGCTATATATGGCTTCAGAAATGTGTTCATAATTAAACACCTTAAGCTGGAATTGTTGGAATTAAACATCCATTGTAGCAGTGGATGCATGTTAATGGTCATTGTCCTGCATGCAGGTCAACCTATAACCCAGTATCATGTCTTTTGTAATTCTTTTAGCATTTTCCATCAATATCTTCAGCAAAGTCTGACCAGACTCCCAAAGCCTGCTGAACACGACCCCCACAGCCCGATGATGCCACCTCCATGTTTCATTGTTGGGATAGTGCATTTGATTTTCACATGTTTTCAACTCTTCCTATGGCTCCTTCAGAATAGTGCAAAGCAGAAGTATGTCAGCTGTCACCATGTTAAGGGCTATCCCAATATTTCTGGCAGTATGGAAGGAGGCAGGGAGAGCAATCAGCCCCAGTCTAACAAGCACCATGTAAGTGTGTCTATCACATAAAGACGTTAATAAGGCGGAAGGCTGTCTGTATTCAGCACAGCAGTCTGGAGCTACATCTCTACCCTGGAAAGTGTTTTAATTGCTGACTCCATGAAACGTGAAGGGAAAGGAGCTAAAGGAGCAGGAGATAGGAGCTACAATTTGAGGTTTTCAGAAGGGCCCAAAACCATAAGCCTCACAATTAAAGGTATAGTGGAGGATTTGCATGAAACTTTGAAAAAAACCCACCCCTTCAACAAAAAATGTACATGCACCATCTACCCTGTACCTGCTCCCGAGAGGGAACACTTATTAAATGCATGCAAGAGCATGCATGAGCCCATTTCTCCTCGTGCATGCTCTGTTTGCATTGCTCAAACAAGCTTACTTTCCCAAATAAGATTTGCTATTTTTTCACTATGTCAGACTCACCACCGGTGAGGGAAAATGGGAACGAGCACGTAGGATGGTCTTACGGAAACATATCCCCAGAATGATTGACATTTAGGAGGATAACTTATTTGATGATCCATCTGGAAAAAAAAAAAAACATCCTTAACTATATCTTTAACCAAAACCTAACCAATACCTAACCTAAAACCTCAGCCCTAAACCGAGCTGTTTTAATGTTGTATTCTGGTTTAATCTGTCCACAGCCACTGACTCTTTGCGTTGTTTCTAACAGGTTAAAAAACTTTAAAATAAACATCTTAAGGCCTTGTTTTAACATTCATTTTTTTATTCTTGACCCTTTTTATTTCATTTTATCCAATAATCCGGAAGTCTCAATGAAATTAAGAATGTCTTTTACAAAAGAATCCTGGCTCATGAATGAGCTGTTGTCATCCATAAATGTCAGATTTGCGGAATGTGCTTTGGAAATTCTCCAGTAAAGCTGAGAATCTCTGAAGCTTCTCCAGATTTAACTTTGACCTTTTGGCTGCTTATGTCCTTGACTGGTTTCAGTTTAGGTTTGAAGCCCAGTATTGCTAGGTTTTGCAGTCAGGCTGTCCATTTTTAATGTTGGTTGAACAGTACTCTATGAGATATTTGCCTAATTTCTCCACAACTGCCTCCCTGGTGTGTTCCTTGGCATGATGCTGTTTGTTTGACATATTCTGGCATTTATCCATATTTATTAAATACAATCCAAAATACTTAGATTTGGATTTCCTTGTTAGACAAAGATGTGGACCATATATATATATCTGTGTGTGTGTGTGCATATTTATGTGTATACTTGTGTATATATATATATATTTTTTTTGTGTGTGTGTGAATGCTGGATAAAAAACATAAAAGTTTTCCTGGAAGGTTACTTTATGTTACGGGCTATTAGAGGGAAAGGGGCTATGAAAAATAAGTTTTACTTCTTCATACAATACATACACACAATACATTTCAGACAATTTACATTAAACAATGTCATGTTATTTGGTGAAGGGTTTTGGTTTCTATTTATGTTCAGGTGAATTCAGTTTGTTTGGAAATTGGAGTTTGGTTTGTTGTTAACCAATCTCTTTTTGTGCATATTTGGTTGATTTGTTTATTGATGTTTGTCAAAATTGTCTGAAATAAATTCCTTTTTATTCATAGTTCTTCATCTTTCATGCATGTATCTGACAACCTATTCTGACATTAGGCCTTATTTTCAGTGACTTAAAGATTAGAGTGTGCAGCTATTAATTTGCATTATTTACAATAATGACAAAAAAAAAATGTCAAAGTGTGATTATTGCTCTTCCTCTGAACTTTTTGGTGTTATTTAATGCAGATTCTATAGATTTGGATTTTAGAGATTTTGTAAACGCCCTAACATTACAAATAGAGGTTTTGGCTGTTTGGGGCTCAGGACAGACAGACGTGCAGGGATAGGAGGGGGAGGGGGTGCTTGGAGGAGAGCCGGGGACTGCCCATGATGGATGGGCGGAGCAGTAAGCATGCGCTGAGGTGGCAGGCTCTGGGCTGCTCCTGACGGGCTGGCTGGCTGCTGGGCTCCGGGCGGATGTCTGTGTGCGTCAGACGGCGGTGGGGGAAATCTACCATCAACGCATAGAGGAGACGCAGGGCGCTGAAGAGGAAATCCAACTGACCCAAACCTAACGCTGGCATCTGGAAAAGCACCGACTAGAAAAGGGAGACGATCCTCCCACATCCAGCCCCAAACCCGCCCTGCTTTTTTCCCTCTGGACCCCTTCGTGCCACCATCCCTCTGGTCCGACCACCCCACAGCAAACCCCCGTCAGACCAGCGCTGCCATTACGCGATGCGCTCTGAATCTGGGAAGAACTCCTCCCTGCGCTGCTGATGCGCGACCGCAGCTCTTCATTTCCACACCATGGATTGTGGTGTTTACTCTTCTTTTTGACAGGTTTCCAGCTGTAGCATGACATGCAAACATCAGGCGGGAATCCCATAGATCGGCTGTGATTTCAACCACCGGCTGTCACATAGCCGGAGCTGCGCTCTCCTCCAAGCTTCAAAACAACTCCGACAATGGTCTTAGTACAGACCGCCTTACTAAACACTTAGTAATAATCCCAAAGACCCTGTCAGCGCAGCTGGATATTTCGGTTCCATTGAAGAAAAACAAAAACAATCAACTGACAAAGAGTTTGATTTTTGGGAAGTTCTTGCTCAGAAGGGAGACGCCTTTTCCATTGCGTTTTCACTGTTAAGGTAAGCCAGGATCGACCCTTTCCTGCATGTCACTTGTGCATGTTGCGTTCACTGTCCACGCTGAGGAAAAGCACGAGTTTAAACAAGGCAGTGACCTATTTTTCAGCCCCCCCTGCGCCCGCAGTGCGCCTTTACCAGGGCTGGCTGCAAACGCGCCTCTGCCAGAAATCTAGATGTCAAACACAAAAGACACAACTTTGAGTGATAATCTCACAATAAAATGTAAAAATATTACTTTTAGAGTTTTGGGGGGTTGCAAATATCATAAAATAAATCTATTTCTTCATCTTTATCTTATAGTTATTAGATATACAGAATTATTGCTGATTTTAACGTCAGACTGACTGTAGCTCACCTACTTTTCATAGCATGTGTTGTAATTGACCCTCTCTAGATGTTTAAAAAAGTCACTTAAAAAATTGCAGCTTAGTTTGCCGCCCTTTAATCTATAACCATATTTGGACCTCTTCTCTCTATTTTCGAAATATTACTGCATATAACATGTTTTTGCCATTTTTTCCTATTTCTTGTTTACTACAATTTTTACATTGTTCACTAAACATATCACAATGTTGTTTATTTACATTGTTAACATTAGGAGACTAGGCCTTTTTAACTCAGGTTTCTAGCTTTAAATAAAGCTGATATTGTTATTGTTATGTTATTAGGATCACCAGGCCAACCTTTTCTTTTTTATTATACACATTATTCTTTCCCACATGAACCCATCAGCAGACGTTTTACGAGGAATGTCACAAATGGTGCCCCATATTTTGGAGCTCATCACATGCAGACCGATCAGCTGTTTGTTGCAGGACAGGTTCCCCCTGAGTTTGATATTTGACAAGAAGTTCAGTGTCTGCAGCTCTTTGGCTATTTAATATGGGTAAAAAAAAAAAGTGTTATTATTCTATAGCCATACTGTATTCTATTTAATATTTTATTTGACAAATTTTGAGTCATTAATACATTTCCTCAAGGACTGTCCTATATTTATCTATGCTCCCATCCAGTGGTGATTTCAGACATTTTTTTATAGGGGTGGTTAGGCACTGAGTCGAAAGCTAAAACTTATAGGCAGCAAAAACTTTTTTTATGATCAAAAAAAAAAAAAAAAAAGAACATGGACTCAAAATAATTCACCGAAGACAGACCAGTTGTTGAACGGTAAATACACAATTTCTTAAATGTACCAGTATTTATTAGGTGGGTACTATGCATTATTTTCTTCCCTTTTTAGTTTCTTATCTTTAAAAGTGAGCTCATCTTTATTTTGCTGTTTCGATTTTGCATAATTTTATTGGAAGGTTTTTGTGATTTTTTCTTGGGTATGCATTGCAAGGATTGTTATGGCTTTTCAACTGTTGTCAGTATCTAAGTTGTATTGCTTTTGTAATGATATTTAGATATTGTTTAGATAAAGAGCTCTCTTCTGTTTTAAGTGTTTTGTTTTTTCGTCTGGTGGAAAATGTAATAATTAATAATAAAAGTATTATCAAGCATAGGCCAGTTGCCATTATCAAGGTGTGGAAGGTCCTAAAAGCTCTAATAAACAATGTGTTTAGCCAAACAATTAATATTTTTAGGTGTTTTTTATAAGATGTAAGAGATAGTGGAAGAGTGAGTGGAGTTAACTCTGGTTATTTTTACTATAAGAGTTCTGCTGTGGTACTCCTGTCCTACCTGTCGCTGCACACTACTATTCAGCTGACTTAAAGAAGGCTTTTACACTTTTCCTTCTCTTAAAAGAACATTTTTTTAGGCCATTCCTGAAACATTTCAATTTACAAAAAAAACAACAACAAACAAACAAAAAAAAAAAAAACAGACAGTCTTTGATTGGTTGTTTTTAATTTACTCTGCCAGATGCAGGTTAGTTATTTGACCCAGTAGCCAGTAGGGGTGTGGGAAAAAATCAATTTGGTGATATGTCGTGATTTTCGGGTGGCCAATATCATATTGATTCTTTAGTTCCAAACATTGATTAAAACAAACAAACATTTTACCTGCTATTCTGGCAGGAAGAGCTGTGGAGTCCTTTTGCTGTGTCTGTATCTGTATCTGCCTAAACTATCTGTATTTTAGGCAGTCACAGTGGAAGATGTGGGTCAACTCAAACACCAAACATCATGTGTTCAAAAATAACTAAATGATCAATATCTTCTGATGAACATAAACAGCACTTGCTTTTTTATCTGTACATTTAATTTTGATAGATGGTAAAAAAAAAACTACAATATATAGTAATAGTGCAATAGGGTGATACTGTACCATGACCCAAGTATTGTGACATGTATTGTATCACAACACCCTTGCTAATACTCACCCCTAGTAGCCAGACAGATTAACCTGTAAATATATATATATTTTCTTGCATGTATGTAATCCATCCAATACTACTGCCAGACATAACAGACTGTTTATTAGTTTTTCTGAAAGCATTTATACCATTAAACCAGAGTCACATCCTGTGCTGTATGACCTCTATTTGTAAACAGATTCAGTTTTGGAGCCCAATAAGTGCAAATAAATACCAGCTTTTATACCAGTTAGCATTAGAAGTTAACTGACTGATTTATTGACTTTATTGATCTCTCAGTGGAGAAATGTACTCGTTACGTCAGCTCAGATATGCTCCACATATGACAGTTTTTTTTTAAATAGATCCTAAATAGTTAACTCTACAAAGAGCAACAACATGAAACTAAATATTACTTACAGATTTTTAAAATATTTATTATGTTACCAAGAAATCACTGTATTTTAACTGAAGGTTACCATACCATATGGTTTATACTGGTCACCTTCTATGAATGGATCCAGTTGGTTATCTCCTCACTGTTCAGCAGCTATATGAGGCAGTATGGGGGGTAAGAATGAACACAGAAAGGGGGCCTAGATAGAGAGCCATTTCTTTCCAATTAAGCAATTCTTCTGTGCCTATGCCTAATTGTGCAGTCTACTGGGACATGGTTTTACGATGGACCTTCTCCCCATTGGCTGCCTCCGTTGGTCTATTGTTCAGGGAGATGCCAGGGCAGAGAACCGACTAGAGAGCCAAGGCAGACCTAATAAAGCCTTCGCTAAAGGGAAATAAGGCCTGATCATTAAGAAGGTTACCGTGGACATATTGGGAGGGATCAGATTAAGAATGAAAATATATTTACAGGGTGATAGGAGGGTTTGTTTCAAGCAGATATCTCTGGGCTCAAGACATATCACTACTGGGTTCATGAATTACACTTTTTTTCCCCTTCCTTTTAGCGAGTTCTCATTGTTTTTTCCTTAAAGTCTGTTGTTCAACAGCCTGTAATCAGATGATGAGCATTTCAGTTGTAGGTCAACCATTACTTTCATCTAAGAGAAAGTCTGGAGTGAGAAGGAGGGTCATCAATAACCTCAGGTTTCACAGTGGACACTGTCCATCCAGATGTCCATTCAGTACCAGGTGTGTATGTTTGTCTCCAATCAAGGACACAAGTGTGTATTTTAGCTGACAGTTTTAACTGATGCATATTTACTTGTGGTAAATTCATATTTGACCACATGTAGACCAGGGGTCCATTTCACAAAGCAGGTTTACTAAAAACTCTAAGTTTTATGAACCTCAAATTTTGGAAACTGAGTTTCCATGATAATTTTCAGGACGTCTACTTAAAATGTGTAAAAATGTCTAGGTAAATGAAACTTCATTCTTACTAGTACAATTGTTATTTTCTGAAATTCAGTTTCTGCTGCAAAAATGTAATTTAGAAAATATATTACTATAGCTCAGTCTAGGATTGAGATCAACAAATGGAACAACAGAGAGGAGAGTGCTTTAAATAAACGTAAAAACGGCCTGCCATAGAGCTTCATATAAACCTAAGCATTAATTTAAGCAACAATCTTCTCCTTCGATATATTCCTGTCCTTTGCAGCTGTTTCTTTGTCTTTTAAACACATTTTTTTTTTATTTCTTCATAAAATCTCCAGTTCTAGTGGGGTGAAATAGGCACTTCCTGTTGCCTGTTTTCATGGTGGCTTGTCGATTCTGGGCTCAACTGACAATGACTTTTTAAACTTGTCATGCACGCGCTTAACTCTGAGTGGACCTACTTAGAGTTGATTGAACTAATTCATAGCAGCTGTTGTGAAACTGACAACTCAGAATTCAGGACATCATGCATTAGTATTTGAATCTGAGTTTTTTTAAACCTGCTTTGTGAAACGGCCCTCAGGTTTTTGGCCAGTCCTCTCTCCACTCTGCCTGCTTAATTTGGATTCTGCTCTATGTCTTCCTGTTGAAAATGAGGTTCCCCTCTTCATAGGGACGCAGTGGAAAGATAAATTAATTGCTCCAATTTATGAACTATTGGATACAGTCATTCAGCAAAGTCTGCTTCTTAGAGTTAAGCCATGGGCGTTGTTATTAAACCCCCTTACTTAATTTTCCCTCTGCCTATAGATTGCAGCCCATGCTACCACTGTATGACATCATTCAACTGGGGTCCAAAGCTGTAAAGGGGAAAACAGCTGTTGTTTTTTTGGTGGAAAAAAAGGTGGACCCTAAGGGTGTTATCCTGCTTTAGAGAACAAGAGGTGGGCAGTAGGCCTATACCACAGTATACCAGTATAGGCTTAATTCCTCCCTTCTCAAATGTCTTGCCTTGCTGAATCACAACCAGGTTGCGACTGCTGTCAAAACTCAAAAAAGAGCAAGAGACCAACAAAGTGTTTTGAAGATTAAACTAAAAACTTAAGCAGGCTGCTCATTAACTGAGCAGAGGTTAAAAAAAATAAAAACCCAAAACAGAACATAAATAGTCTGTAAAAACGGCTTAGGAGTTCCCCCGCTGCTTTTGTTGATTCAATTAAAAGTAAATGAATAAGACTGTCTTGCTGTTTTTGTGTCCTTCATCAGACATAAGATAAGTCTTGTTTTAAAGAGTCACTCATCTTTGCAAAGATAAAGGGTAATGGCCACTGTAGAGCCTCAAGCTCCACTGCCCTCCAGATTT